TACTTCTAATCTGCAAAACTTATTCATTCACAACGACTATGGAGGTAATGAAGATATCATCATTGATTCTATAACAGAATCTCTATTACTTACATTGGTTCCATAATAACCAACACTTTTACACTCGATAATGTTTTGTGTGCACCTCACGTTAAAAGAAACATTATTTTTATTTCTCAATTCTGCAAATAAAATAACATCTCTATTGAGTTCTTTCTAACTCGTTTCTTATAAATGATTTGAGTACGAGGGCATCCTTGGCCTAAAGCCAAAATAAAAATAATATCTACGAGTGGACGTCAACTTCACAAATCATCCAACAAACTGCTCTTACTTCAGTTGCTACTTCAATTGATGTGTGGCATCATCGCCTTAGTCATCCATCATCCTCCATTCAACAATAGCTATTGTCTCGTTACTCTCTTCCAACTTCCAAATCAAGTGGAATTGTAATTCATTAAGATGCATGTCTTAGTAATAAAAGTCATAGACCACCTTTTAGAACGACCTCCATATGCTACTCCAAACCATTTGAAATTATCTACACTGATGTCTAAGGCTTGCCCAACCATTTATTTTAACAATTTTAGATTTTTAATCATTTTTACATATTAGTTTACTAAATATATGGTTATATTATCTCAAACATAAATCTAAAGTCACAACAGTCTTTGCTCACTTTAGAAAGATAGTAGAGAACTTCTTTCTATTTATCATTAAAATAGTTTACTCTAATAGAGAATGTGAATTTCAAGCTCTAACAACCTATCTCTCATTCTATGCTATACAACATCTCAAATTACTACTATACACACCTCAACTAGTTGGCTTTGAGGAACGAAAATATCGACATATAGTTAAACTGGTCTCACCCTTTTGCACCAAGCCTCCATGCCATCAACTTTTTTAATAGTAGCCTTTTAAACTATAATCTATCTCATTAACCACATGCTTATCCCAATCTTACAACACCTATCACTATTTGAAAAATTATTTCACAAAATCTCAAACATTCAAAAACTTAAAATATTTGATTGTTTATGTTATTCCTGGTTATGCTCCTATGCTTTACATAACTTAACACCAATATCTAAGTCTTATATCTTCATCGGGTATTCTCTTGAACATAATACTTTTTAGTGTTATAATCCTCAAACTCAAAAGGTCTTTACATTACATCATGTATTTTTATCGAGTCTGTCTTTCCCTTCCAAAACTATGTCTTTAGCAATACGAGTCACTCCAACAACCATGTATCACTGGATTCATATTAATACACCTTAGATCCTCTCAAACACACCTCTCACCATATCAACTAGTATTTCTCCTCGAGACATGCACTCTCTTATTACTTTAGTTTATCAGCACTTCACCCTCTCTGTAACTTCTCCACATACTTCTCCATAAATTCACCCTACAATACTTAATGAATAAACACCTTTGACACCACAAATGATATCTTTATCCTCTCATCGACCAAGTTACACTGAAGTGCATAAGTCTAATCAGGTACATATCAACAACTCTATACTAATTCTCATACCTTCAACACAACCAAATAATACTGCCATGCTTGGACATCGTCGGTTTTAGCTTGTTTTTAGGTTGTTTTCGCGTGCTGCGACGATTGTGGCGAGCGGTGCGAAACATCAGTCATCTCAGCACCCTGGAACCCCTCGAGTGGCATAGGGCTGGATGGGGCTTTTGGATAATAGGGAAGGTGCTGGTCCTCGCTTCGCTCGCTCCTGCGATAAAAAAGGCTAGTTTTGACCTGTTTTTGGGTCGTTTTCACATGCTGCGGCGACCATGATGAGCGATGCAAAACATCAACCATCTCGGCACCTTGGAACCCACTCGGTGGCATAAGGTTGGATGGGGCTTTCAAATAACAGGGAAGGTGCTGCCCCTTGCTTCACTCGCTGTCCGTCGCTCGCGTGACCACATGACAATATGCTCCAAAAATAGCATCTTCAAACCACATCAATCATTGACCTCCATGCTACCGCAAGTTTTTCGCCTGAACCTATTAAACTCACAACCATCACATAAGCCCAAAAATCTTCACTTTGGTGCAAAGTCATGTGTGAAGAATATGATGCCCTACTCCATAATGTCACATGGACCTTATATCATTTAATGACATACAAAATATCATTGGGTGTAAGTGGATCTTTTGAATTAAGTAGAATCCAAATGGATTCGTTGCTAGATACAAAGCACGTCTAATAGCCAAAGAGTTTCACGAACGATTAGGTGTTGACTTTATAGAAACATTCACTTTAGTTGTTAAACCAACAACAATTCGGCTCATCTTGAGTTCGATTGTCACTCAAGGTAGGCACATACGCTAACTAGATATTAACAATATTTTCTTACAAGAGACCTTAACTGAAGATGTCTTTATGCAAGAACCTCCTAGCTTCATCCATCTTCAATATTCAAGCCATGTTTGTAAACTATGAAAAATTATTTATAGACTTTGCCAAGTTCCAAGAGCCTGGTATACTAAACTTGGCTCGTTTTTTGCATTAACTAGCTTCGTCAACTCCAAGCCTAACATCTCGTTATTTCTACAACAACAAAAGGGAAGTATTCTATATCTACTAGTATATATAGATAACATTATCATTACAAGTAATAATCCCATTGAGATCAAGCAATTTGTAGATCGATTCTCCTTCTAGGAACCTTAATTTACTTTCTGGGAGTGGAAGCAATGTTCAAATCTTTTGGACTTTTTCTATCTTAAAAGAAGTAAATTCAAGATCTATTATTAAAGACGAATATACAGAATGCCAAAGAAGTAGCCACCCCGCTCTCTACTACTGAATCACTTAAATTATATTATGGTAGCCCTATCACGGATCCCATACAATACCGACAAGTACTTGGCTTCTTATAGTACTTATCTCTCATATATCCAAATATCTCATTTGTAGTCAATAAATTATCATAATTTATGCATCGACCCTCCACTACGCATTAGTTTACAATAAAATGAGTCTTGTAGTATCTCAAAGGAACTCTTAATCATAGACTTCTTCTTCATAAACATTCATCACTTTATCTCTATGCCTTTGTCGATGCTGATTGGGAAAGCAATATTGATGATAGAATGTCTACGTCAGTCTACATTGTCTTCTTTTGAGCAAATCCAATCGGTTTGAGTTCTAAGAAATAGAAAACTAAGTGTAAGATCCATTATTAAAACTAAATACCAAACTATCGCCGCCACCACTATAGAACTCAACTATGTCACTAATGTACTATAGGAATTTGATATCGCCTCTTAATTCACTCCTACATTATACCGTAATAATGTCGGTGTTGCCTACCTAAGCGTCAATCCAGTGTTCCACTCACGCATGAAACTCATTGTCATCAACTTTCACTTCGTTAAAGATCAAGTTATCAAAAATCAACTATATGTTTTTCACGTCTATACTTTTGATCAACTAGCAGACTCCCTCACAAAGCCTCTTTCTTGCAAAATATTTTAATTACATCGGTCTAAGATTGATATTTTTGATAAAAAATTAATCTTATGGGGGCATGATAGAAGATCATGATAGATGCATATATGAAATAATATCCCTATATTTCTTACGTCCTCAATCATTTAAAGATCAATAACTAATTTGAATAATTGATCCGATTGTGTGATTTATGTGTATGATTAAGAAAAATATCTCTCTCAAATATAAATACTAATCACCTCAATCAATAAAATTCATTCCTTCCATAATATATTCCTCGATTCTACGGGATGATTTTCAACATGATCCTTTTGACCCTCAGCCAATAGGGGCAAAGTAATTTAAATAAATAATACTAACTTGAATTATCATTATAGACATAAATAAAGAAATATTCAACGGTATATGTGGAATATTCTTTTAAAAATTTATATTAAACTAATATTCATGAAACAAAATTATTGATCGGGATCCGTTTCTACTCGCTGACCATGCCGCCGTATGTCCAGCTATGATCGAACAAACATTTTCCCTATCAACTTCGAAAGAAAATGAGCAGCAAAGGAGTTGGGCACAGCTGCTCTCAAAGTAGGTGGAAGATGAATGCTCCAAATAATTGCTGCTTTCATCTCATCGTATCTGGAATGTGATGAAGCCTTCATTCTTATATATAGTAGGTGAAAGGGTAGGCGCTGACACTGTCGGCTCTGCAGCATCTGCATGCTTGGCTGCCATATACCAAGCAGGTGAATTCTCGCAAGCCCGAGAGAGAGAGAGACTAAGACCATTGTTGTGGATTCTGTGGGGAACATGGTTCCATCACATATGTCTGCCGTATGTTTATCATCCAACTGTTTCTGCGTTTTTAGGTACTTCCTTTCATGGCTAGCAGAGAATGAGCACATGGCCTGTTCTTAGGAGGATAGGAGTTGGCATTTAATACTGGTAAATATAGCTGGATTGGGGGTATACTCCTGCGGACTCCAATTCCTGTAACTTCAAGATTCAGCCGTGCAAACGAGTCTGTGAGGGAGAAGAAGAAGAAGAAGAAGAAGAAGAAGACAGAATATTACACTGAAAGAATCTTTTTGAGGTATAACTATAAGATCACAATTCAGTCATGAAGAATTAGATTAGGACATTTATGAGGCGATGAAAGTTACCTTTTTATCACCTACGTAAAGAATTACAATTTACTGATCATGATTTTGTGTTGATCTCGCTAGATCAACGACGGCTCGATGTTAAAAGCAAACTTAGATTTTTCTGACACATGAAGAGGGTGCTAATCACCACCAATTTGTGGGTGATGAGGTTGGAAATAATGCAACGGAAGCAATTTGCTCGTTAGCTTGAAATCACTTCGAGTGAGATGTTCGATGCAACCTGCAACTGAGAAGACTAAATGCAAAAAATATACGTTGGATCTTCCCGTATCAATCGGTGAGAAGGAAGCTGGGAGATTATAAACATCAACGTCTGCAACACTGTGCCAACAAGTACCACAGACTTGAAGAGAATTGAAGCTTCATCGAGAGATGGAATCGACTGGGCCATGCAATGCAATGGAGTTTTACTGAGTTACTAGCGAAGCACTTGCGCTTTGCACCTGCTCGAGGAGAGACACTGAAACATAACAGTCCAATAAATTACTTCCCTGTTGTGGCACAGTCCTCTCCCTCTTCTTCCCTGTTGTGGCATTCCCAGCTTCATTAAATGACCAACCTCTTAAGACAGCAGCAGCAGCAGTAGCAGCAGCCCTTTCTTTACCAGCTAAAGCCACTCGATTTCCCCCCTCCTTGCCGCGCCTATCGATATGGCCACCACCAGCTTCCCCAACCTCTTCCTGCACCTCCTCCTCTGCCTCTCCTCGCTTGCCGCGGCCTCCGCCCGCGTCCCCGCCGTCATCGTCTTCGGCGACTCCACCGTCGACGCCGGCAACAACAACCAGATCAAGACGGTCCTCAAGAGCAACTTCCTCCCCTACGGGCGCGACTTCACCGGCGGCCTCCCCACCGGTCGCTTCTGCAACGGCCGTCTCGCCACCGACTTCATATCGGAGGCCTTCGGCCTCCCGCCGCTTGTTCCCGCGTACCTCGACCCGGCCTACACCATCCGAGACTTCGCCAAGGGAGTTTGCTTCGCCTCCGCCGGCACCGGCCTCGACAATGCCACCTCCGACGTGCTAGTAAGTCGGTCCACTTGTGCATGGCATATTAATTTCTACATCTCAATGCAGTAACAGCAAAAATATGAGATTACACGGAGTGCCAGCAATCCGAAGTGGGCACATAGATCATCAATTTGGAGACCATTCTTCATGGCACATACCATTTCTAGGGTGGTGTTCATGAGAGGAATTGCAGCGGTAGCCTTCAGATCTACAGTTTCGCATAGTATCTATCTATCTATCTATCTTATTTTTGTGCTTTCTGAGAGAGCATCCTTGTCAACATGGTTGCCAAATTAGTAGATGGATATCGCCTTTGTGAGAGCAGCCTACGGCAAGCGTTTGAATCAGGACGCCCGGCAAATGCCTGTGCCAGCCTTTAGTGGCAAATAAGTGCCGGCTGTCCTGTTAGGTGCTCTGAGTCAGTGGAATCCATGTGCCTCGATGCATGCCTCATTTAATGGCCATGAAGTCGAGCTTCCTCGATGAAGTAAAGTCGGTAGATCAACGACACATCCGTTTCTATCATCTGGAGATGAACTAAAGCAAGCTTCTTTTCTTGATTACTTGCATGCAGTCTGTGATACCATTGTGGAAGGAGGTGGAGTACTTCAAGGAGTATCAGAAGAAGCTAAGAAGACACGTGGGGAAGGCACGGGCGAGGAACATCGTAAGGGAGGCAGTGTACGTCGTGAGCATAGGCACCAATGACTTCCTGGAGAACTACTTCTTGTTGGTGACGGGGAGGTTCAAACAGTTCACCGTGGAGGAGTTCGAGGATTTCCTGATCGACCGCGCCGCCGACTTCCTCACCGCCATCTACAGGATGGGCGCCCGCAAGATATCCTTCACCGGACTCAGCGCCATCGGCTGCTTGCCGTTGGAGAGAACCACCAACGCCCTCCAAGGTGGTGGCTGCATCGAGGAGTACAACAAGGTGGCCAGGGACTTCAACGTGAAGCTGCAGGCGTTGATCGCCCGGCTGTGCGCGTCCTTGCCCGGGCTGAAGCTGAGATACTCTCCCGTCTACGACAGCTTGCTTCGCATCATTCGTAGCCCTTCTTCCTACGGTGAGTAATTGGGTCGTGCATCGGATCGACTGAGCAATGAAATCTAAGAGACGTGTGTGTGTGTGTGTCGTTCAGGGATCGAGAATGTGGAGGAGGGGTGCTGTGCCACAGGGAAGTTCGAGATGGGGTTTCTGTGTGACCAGTGGAGTCCATGCACATGTGAAGATGCGAACAAGTACATCTTCTGGGACGCGTTCCACCCCACGGAGAAGATAAACCGTATGATGGCGAAGCAGGCACTGAGGACTAGCTTGGCCGAGTTCCTATGAAGGCCCTCTTTCTTTCTGGTTTGGTTCGACATGGAAATGTATACGAGTACAATCGTTCCTTCACCTACATTTATATATCATTCATCAACCTGGAATCACATTCTTCCGGTACTGATACCGTATGCTCCATTTTGTGGATCTCGAGATGCGACGGCAGCTAATTATCTCGGTGTTTGACCTTTCGTTGAGCTCATGAGTTCACGCATGCAGCGAGGTCTCGATGCATGGCTTCTGTAGCTGACCTCCATCGAAGGACACGAAATGAAAGCCAGCCGAAAGCGGCAGGCAAAGCTTCTTGTCTTTCTCGATCACTGCAGACACGAATCCCTTTTCTCTCGGGCACTTTTAGTGCGGTTGGCGTCTCTATGCGTACGCAGCATGTCAAACAACATGATACGACCACGTATTCGTATGGTTTGTGTCACTGTCGATCGTCCCTTTCACCCGAAGCAACAAGCCATGGAAGGTTATGGTAGTGAGTTGGTTCCGTTCCACCAGGGGAGGCCTCTTCCGACGCCACACCCTCGTCTATCTTCTACTGTCTGATGTTTATATATATTGTCAAATGAATTCATCGTATATTCAAGCCATCAAACACCCTCCGATACAGTCAGTCATAAAGAGACTAAAAGGACGAGAACAGGACATGGTGGGTTGAGTTTCTTCAGTAATGTACACACACTTGTTCTTAGACATCAATGCAATAACTCTACTGATGCACTAAGATGGACACTTGTCCTTGTTGTCCTCTTATCAGCATTGAAGTGATTAGATTTGAACACACATAAGAGGAGTATAATTCCTATCTTGATTTTGAAAGATGTACATCACTATTAGAAGACAACACACTTTATCATATGAACTTCACCTTCCATGCATTAGAGTCATCGATATCACAAAATAATGCTCCATTTAATTCTCTAATACCAACTTTCTTTTTTCTTTTGATCACCTTCACCACCTCTAATGTCTTCCCAACCTGTACCAAACTATATGAGAAGGAAAGATACAATAGGAAATATCTTAGGCAAACAAAATAGATGGTATCAGAGATCTCTTGTCAAATGATATATAGACAATTGAATTCAGATTGTATGTGAATATGTCATGTGGTAGTATGAGATGAATGATTTTAGATTAGGGGGAGTAGATTGAAACCAAGATATATTTCATATTTAGACCAAGCAAGGAAAGAAAAAATGTCAACCTAAATCAATAGTCATATTTAGATTAGGGGGAGTTCAACTAACATATTCACATTGTCACATAGCAACATCCAATATAATCCTATTTTAATTTTTAAGATTTTTTATTTTTTACAAAAAGATAAACACCGAAGATGAGATTTAAGTCTATGACCTAACGATAAACTATCAAGATCTTTATCGATCAAGCTAATTGAGACCTTCAAAATATGTCAGATGAGGTTTTAAAACCTCAACCCTAGCTAATGTCTAAGGTATAAAATGATTATGAAGAAGTAAAAAGAAAAGAATAAAGAAAAAAATTATTAAATTACAAAATAGGAATACAAACAAGTAGGAAAATTATCTAACAAGACAAATATATAGATTTATATATTCAAACTGCCACATAGACAACATCTCATACAATCCTGCTCTTATTTCAATAATAATTATAAAAATAACAAATAACAAATATGAAAGTATATCTTCTCGAAAGGAGACAAGATATAAAATAATGTTATATGTATATGTTTTCATCCTTATATTTTTCATCCTTTCTATTCTTGTACTTGGGTCGATACAAAGAGACTATAAGACCATAATTTTTCCTGTGATATAAGTTAAAAGGATTTGAAGCACAATCTACTTAAAGCCAACTTCTCAACAACATAAAGTAATTAGAAGGCCGATTCAAAGCCTTTCTCCCTGATTGACTCGGTAAGCATTAAATGTGCAATACCTTTTTCTTTTATTACAAGAATAAGATTTCTCTCAATCGTGTTTTCTCGTTTCCTCGATTTGTTTTTATCTTCTTTTATTATTACTACCTAATCCTTTTCTGTTTCTTCCATGCATCACAGATGACCGTTAAAGGTTGTCCTATCTCATGATGATTCCTTCTCCTTCCCGGGGTTACTAACAAGACGATTCAAATCTTCTTCTCCTCTATGTTGACGATCGTTTCTCACCGTGCACAACTCAGAGGTCAATACGTCGAACACATCGAAAGTTAGGGAGTAACGGCAACGATGGAGTCGGAGCAAGCGGCGCCTCTCCTCCCGGCGATCGAGTCGCGCCGCGACGACGAGCTTTACTGGCTCCGGTCCTGCCTCAGGTGGATGTGTCAAGACCAGTCGAACGCCGTCCTCGCGGTGGTCTCGTGGGTGGCCCTCTTCGTCCTCGCCGTGGCCGTCCCAGCCATGGCCCACTTCATGCTCTCCTACCGCCGCCCCTACGACCTCGTCGTCCAGCTCTCCCTCACCGTGGCCGCCGCCCTCTCCTTCCTCACCCTCTCCGCCGCCACCCACCGCTATGGCCTCTGCCACTTCTTCTTCCTCAACAAGCTCCCCGGCCAGAGCGCCCGCGTCCGCCTCGCCTACGCCGCCCAGCTCCGCAGCTCCTTCCGCCTCCTCGCGCTCTTCATCGCGCCATGCTGCGCCGCCGAGGTCGCCTACAAGCTCTGGTGGTACTCCTTCAGCGCCATCCGGATCCCCTTCCTGGGGAACCGGGTGGCCACCAGCTGCGTCGCGTGCGCGCTGGAACTAGCATCGTGGACCTACCGCGCCGCGAGCTTCTTCGTGGTGTGCGTGATGTTCCGGTCCATCTGCCACCTGCAGATCCTGCGGCTGCAGGAGTTCGCGGTGGCGTTCCAGGCGGAGTCGGAGGCGGTGGCGGTGCTCAACGAGCACCTCCGCTTGAGGAGGCAGCTCAAAGTGATCAGTCACAGGTTCCGCGGGTTCATCCTCTGGGGGTTGATACTAGTGACAGCGAGCCAATTTGCGGCCGTCTTGGTCATCACCCGACCGCACTCCGACGACAACCTCTTTAACATCGGAGAGCTCGCGGTGAGTGGTTGATTAATTTATATAAGCAGTTGAATTCCACGGTGAATATGAGAGGAAACTAAATATGCAATTGGTGTTCCTACTTGCAGCCCTGCTCAATTGTGCTTGTGACCGGCATGCTTATCTGCCTGCACAGTGCAGCAAAAATAACCCACAAAGCTCAAGCTCTCACAAGCCACGCCGCGAAGTGGCATGGTTGTGCCACCGTCGAGTCTTTCTCTATAGACCCCGAGGCAGCCTCTGAGGTCATCACCGGTGGCGACGGTGACTCCGACGAGGAAGAGGACAGCGAGGAGGACGAATTGGAGGACACGAAGATCGTACATCCTCATGTCCACACCATTTCGTTTCAGAAGCGACAAGCACTTGGTTGAGCTCATTTAAATCCCATCCTGCTTGTGGGTTTGATCACATTAAAATCTGACTCGATTCTTCTTGGATTGGTTGCAGTGACATACCTGGAGAACAATGGGGCAGGAATCACCATATTTGGATTCACGGTGGATCGCTCCTGGCTTTGCACCCTATTCACGCTTGAAATTTCTCTGTTCTTGTGGCTTCTGGGCAAGACAATTGGGATCTCCTGAAGCCATATCTTCTCCTTCATTCAGCTCCTTCTTGTTCTTCCTCTTTGTGTGTGTCTGTACAGTTTCTAAGGTCTTGTATATATAAGCTGTTGATCCATCCCTTAGCTGCTGTCCAGTTTCTCATTATGTTTACGACTTCTGTTCCTCTATGTGGTACTTGGAGTCTGTATACTACATTTTCTGAGCTGAAGGTTTTATACATGTAAATATATACCAGTTCTCACTAAAATATACAATATTACTCGGTCCTCACACAACTTACTTCTTGACAGAAATGGGATTGGCATTACTTCTGATATACATATATCATTTGGATGTTTAGTTTTCGAATTTCTGTAAAATCTTTTTGTTCTTGAGTTGTTCTAGTCATTTATATGGAGAGAGTAGCAGAAAGTAATTATTAGGTAAATATGTAAGTTAGTATATAATGAATATCATTTAATTTTTATCTCATACGATAAAATTTATATTTAAAATATTGGTCTAGAAGTAAATAAATCATGTCCATCTAATCAAGATTAATGATTTGAATCTTATTAAAGAGAATGTCATCCAATTCAGTTAGTAAAAATTTGTGACTGCTAATATAATTTTGAAGCTTGGGTTAACATTGGGTTGGGTGGGACTTATGCACATTATCAAGTCCAGATAAGGATGAAATGTGGATTGGATGAGATCTACACACACATATATATATATATATATATATATATGTGGATTGGATGAGATCTACACACACACACACACACACACACACACACACACACACTATATATATATATATATATA